TTCATTCCTGGGTGCAGTCCTGGAGACCTCAGAGCTGGACTGACCCTAATAATGCCCAAGACAACAAGGGCTACCCCTGCCTCATTATTGGGCCCTGACATAGACACCCCCCTCACCCCCCGCCCCCGAGCCTGCTGGGCCAAGAATCATCAGGAAGGGCTCTTGGTCTCCAGAGTACCACTTTGAAGACCCAAAACAAAGAAAAACCATTTTTTTTAAATTTTGATGCAAGTCAGGTAATAAAAATACTGCTAAATTCATGAAGATTCAAGAGTGAACTGAGTCAGAAGGACTTAGTCACAAATTTAAATACTAGCACATGTCTTGCTGGTACATTAAATGTCCTTTATTAGGATCTCTTTATTGGAGTTCTCTGTAGTTGTCTTAGTTTAGGAAAGTAGGGTTACTCTGAAATGAATACATACATTTATTTAAGATGAATGACGTAGCCTCTGTGAATTCCACTGGATGGGGGAAAGTCATCCTCTTAAAAAGAACAAAGCAGTATGCCTTACCGGGCCAAAATCCTAGTAAAAACATTTCATGCTCAGTGTTTCTTAGATTTAAAATTAACAAGAAAGGCCTGAACCATAAAACTGGTCTTCTAAAGTTAAGTTAAGGCCTTTGAAAAGATAAAACTGATAAACAAACACCTTTTTGGAATTCATCTTTATCAAAACCAACTTCCTTCCTAGACAGATGGCAGATTATTAAATGTCAGGTTAGCTTTGGCGCTGATTAATTCAGATGGTGTCAACATAAATAGCTATTGACTTGTAGTAAACCAAACCACTCTAAAAGAAAACCAAATATTTTATTATAGGCAATTTTGCTTTCAGATCATATTTCCTGTGTTATTCTTACACTCTGTTTCTTTTTTGTTATTACTACCAATATTTGTATGTAAACAGGATCTCTGTTGCTTAGCAATTCATTGTTTCTGCTGTATCTTCTCTACTCAGATGGGCTTAGTTCTCTAGCACAAATGAGTACTGTGTGAATTATCTCCCCCCTTACAAAGGGTATCACCTTTTAGTATCTGGATGTATGTTTGTTTGTAGAAGAATTCATTTAAATAGTCCTGGGGTTTATATTCGTATTTCAGTTCTCACTGGAAAGGAGTTAGTTTTTGGTTGTATATACAGAGAAAGAATGTGTTGTATCAAAATATCTAGACTGAGAAACAAGTGAATTGAGTTCCAGACTTGGCTTTACCAACCTAAGGGAGAATGAGAAAGTCTAACTCTTCTGGTCCTTTAATAATTTTTCATTTAAAAACTTGGATAAAGCAGATATTATTATAAAAATTTTCCAATTCCCTGGAAATAGTTCTTGATGGTTTCACATGTTTTCTGTTAATTACACGAAGTCTCCTAACCCAAGTACCACACTCAGGGTCTAATCTTCTTGGGTAGGATCATAAACACTAAAGTCATCCCACTCCTGATTACTTCTTCCTTTCCTACCTGAAACTTTCATCCTCAGTTATGTCCAGTCAATTCTCTTGCAAGTTGGATCTGCTAAATCAATTTATAATATGATGCTTGCCAAATTGGAACAAGGTTTTATCTTCTCTAAAAATGCTGAATTGAAGAAAATCTGCTCCTGAAGGCCAATTTCCCTTAGAGATTATGCATCTATGAATGGAGGAATCAGATAAAGGCAAGCTGGGACAGGGGTGGGGATGGGGTGGTGGCGGGAGAAAGACTGGGGACATTGGTGGTGGGAAACGTGCACTGGTGAAGGGATGTGTATTGGAACATTCTATGACTCAAACTCAATCACAAACAACTCTGTAACTGTGTATCTCATGGAGACTCAAAAAAATTAAAAATTAAATTGATCATTTAACTGTTTATACAGTTTCAGGAAATAAAACCATGGAGACATCACCAAATTCATATTCTGTAACATTAACCCAAATTTGGAAATTAGGACAATTCATGGAATTAGAAGCCCAGGAAAGAAAATCACCTAGAACAACATTGTCACACTGTGGGCCAGTTAGGCCCGTGAGTCAGCCCAGTGACTGATTCTCTTAAAGCCACTCAGACTTAACAGGAAGGCCTCTTAATGTGCTTAGAGTTGCAGAGGTGGGTTCCCAGACTTATTTGGTCTAGTGTCCCCTCTTCAGAAAATAAATTCCCCACAAACCCCTAGAAATCTGCTTTCTTTAAGACACAAAGAGAAAGTGCCTCCCTCCCACCCACCCACCCAGTTGCACCCAAGGTTACTACCACGCCCCCCTGGATTTTTTTCATCATACCCCCAAGGGTAATGGGCCATTATTGAACACTTTTGGAAATACTAGTTTAAAGCAAGGAGTCACTCCTGTACTCTTCTTTCTTTTTTCATTTAGAAAAAGTTCCGCGAGCACTTTGGAGGTGAACTTCATTTTCACCTCCCGTCCTCCTGCCCCTTGGTTCCTCTGACAAGCGTGAAACTCTGCCTGCTTCTCTTACCTCCCACAGGGTAATGGGAGAAAAAAAAATTGCAGTGACACCAAAAAGCTAGATAACAAGAGTCAACAAGTTTTTGTCCCCTTTCTTCCCTGGTCGATGGTGCAAAACAGTGCTAATGTTATTGTTTTTCTATTTCTATCAGTAGCAGTCATTCCTGGCTTGCTTTCAGAAAGATGAAACTAGTCATCGATGCCCATGGATATAAATATTTTTATAGTGATAACTAGAGAACCAGCCATATAAATCGGTGATATGCGTATATTTCTCATCTTGTAAGTGCTCATGTGTCTATGAGTGTAAGTCTCTGTTTAACTCTTAGAATGCCACCCTACTATTCATCATCCCCTCCACGAACAGATTCACAAAAAACATCTCAGTACTCACCTAAATAGTAATACTGCAATTCAGATAATTTCCCCATTGTCTACCAGTGGAAAATGGGGGAAATCCTCTCTGACCACCAAAATCTGAATTTAGCTTGGAATTTGGGCAGAGAGGTGGAAAATGTGCCATGACTCACTGCATTTTCATCAGAACACATAGTACCAAACCACGAAAGTCTGCCGAGGGGTTTATGTTGAAGTCATGTGACATTTCAATTTCACTAGGTTTGACAGATCAAATGCCCTACAGAGTGGCCAAACATCATGAAATTCCTTCTATAAAAATGTTTCTATTCCAAAATGTGTACCATTCCATAAAGGAGAAATTCAGTGTTTGTATTAGGAGCAGAAGTGTTGTAAACTGTTCCCTGGGAGTGAGCTCTTCAAACACCAAAACTAGAATCAATGTTATGCTCACCAGAGCTTTTTATTTTGAACTAAGCTGAACGTTTATTGAAGGAAGACAAAGATGTTGGAGGCAGACAGAAAACAAAACAAAGCAAAAGCCAGTTTCATTGTTCTTTGAACAGACTCAAAGCACATGCCTCATAACCAAATGCTGTATCTTTTTTTTCCAGCATATTAAACATTTGTAAACAAAAGAACTTTCACATAACATCGTTTGACTTTTAACCAGCCTGTTTTATGGGTACCTGCCAGAGATGCTGACAAGAATCACCTACACAAGCAGGTTTTACTCCAGCAAAAAATTATTTGGAAATTAGAAATGCAGTGGGAAATTAATGCCATGAAAATAAAAAGCCATCTAGTCCACAGGGACACAGTCCCCTGCATATTTTCGGTCACCTGTGGGTTCCCTTTGCAACATTGTGTCTCAAGCATTTTTAAAATTTGCTAGGAAGAGTTGGCCTCCTCAATTATTATGCTTAAATAAGGCCTTCTTTTAGTAAAGAAGGCTGTCATTTCTGCAGAAATGTCACTGTCATTTCATTCTGCAGGAAAAAAAAAACATTTTAATTAAAAATAGACATATTTCCCATTTCTTTCTTTCTCTACGGGAGCTCTTTTCCAAAAACATTTGTAACTGGACCTGATATTAATGCCTGAAATTTTATTTTTAAAGAGAGGTCAAGAATGCCTTGAGTGTAGCAGTTGGAACATGATTAAAAAGAGGAGCAAGACTGGATATGCGTGTAGAAGTCACTTTATGAGAATGTTGAATTAAAAACTCTTCTCACTGACAATAAAGAGGGTTGAAAAAACGCAGATGATGTCGTGTCAGGAGCTGATAACAATAGAATCAGGAAGGTTGAGGCCAAAGGAAACAAAAAGGGCTTTTCAAGATATATTTGGAACAGGAAGATGGATACGGATAGTAACTAGTTGAGAGTAAGGAGACAATGTTATCAGATGACAAAGAAAAGGCAAAAAGACATAAATAACTGTGTTTCCAGATGAGGGGTGCTCAAACTGAAAATTGTAAGTTTTATAAAATTAAAATCATAAAACCAAAAAGGATAAAATATTTAAATTCTAAATAAAAAAAGATCAAGAAACAGATTCTAGAATCAGATTCTAGAAACTTCCCAGAAAATAGAAAGCCTTCGGAGGTGTAATTGGTGAGATTCAGCCTCTTAACCTTATGGTGAAAAATTAGAAAGAATTTTAAAACAGTAGTGGCACTTCCCAAAGCAAGAAACTTAAATTCTGCGATATTAAACGTATATCTCAATCTCACAATACAAACACTATACATGGAAAAAAGCTAAAATGAATCCCTATGTAGAAACCCTAAGACTGTGATTATCTAAGTATTAAATACACTTTAAAGAAAGAAAAAACAAGCCTCCTAATAATAGGAATTCTCCCAATTTTATTCATTCTGTTCCTTTACCTTTAGTCAGATTTTTCTTTCTTTTCTTTTTTTTTTTTTTGGCACATTTAGATAGTCACCCTACTTTTTTTTTTTTTGCTTTTTGGGTCACACCCGGCAATGCACAGGGGTTACTCCTGGCTCTGCGCTCAGGAATTACCCCTGGCGGTGCTCAGGAGACCATATGGAATGCTGGGAATCGAACCCGGGTTGGCCACGTGCAAGGCAAACGCCCTACCCGCTGTGCTATTGCTCCAGCCCCTCACCCTACATTTTGAAATGTTGTTTTAAAATGCTTTTAGCCTTTCTCTCCTGTGCCAGGCAGAAGGGCTCCCGCAAAGGGCTTCGAAGATAAGAAGGGTTGCTCTGCCATCAATGAGATGATGACCCAAGAATACGCCATCAGCATCCACAAGTGCATCCATGGAGTGGATTTCAAGAAGCGTGCACCTCAGGTATTCAAAGAGGTCTGGAAGTTTGTCATGAAGATGAGCACCCCTGATGTGTGCATTAACACCAGGCTCAACAAAGCTGTCTGGACCAAAGGAATAAAGAATGTCCCATATCGAATTCAAGCACGTTTGTCCAGAAAGGGGAATGAGGATGAAGATTCACCAAACCAACTTTATACGTGGGTTGCCTATGTGTCCATCACCACTTTCAAAAATCTGCAGACAGTCAATGTGGATGAGAACTAAGCTGCTGATTTCAAAAAGTTCTAAAATGAAAAAGAATGTTTTTATATTCTGCAGGTACAATTTTAAATGAATTATGTATGTGCCAATGTAAGGGATTATCCATTATTGAGCATTTTGCTGTAAATAATTCTGAAATAGAATATATCTATTTCATTATATAAATGTAAATTGTTTTCCCAATTTCTTGAAAGGCTTTATTTGAACAGAATACCCAGTATGAGAGTAGGATGTCAAAACTTATCGTAAGCTTTCTAGGTCTAGGCAAACGCTTCCAGTTTACATTTTTAAGTGATAGCAAGTTATTTTAATATCAGCCTCAATAATAATAATCAGGTCAACTAAGCAATACTGAGAATTTTAATAAATATACTGTTAATTCAGATTTTATGTATACGTGATGGAGACAAAATTGTCCATTTACAAGCTTGCTTGTTTATAAGAATCCTAATTTCTTTTTCAAATTATTACTAAGTTATGTGTGATTTTCATAACTTTTGTTAATGTCATTTTGACTTTTAAAATTTTTTTTCACAAGGGCTAGCTTTCAACCATATAACCATTTCATTTCTTTGAAATTTCCTAAATTATTTCCCAAATTAAAACTTTTTCTTGAAAAATTGAATGTTTGTTTTTTTTCAATATTTTTTTCATTTTGATATAGCTTACTTTCCACAAGAAATTTTTAACCGAAAAGTTCAAGTTATGAGTATAGAATAAAATATCAAAGTATTTCATGAACCAGACCAATCCCAGTGCGCTAACCATAGGCAAGCATTACTGACAATTTAATGTGCCTATTTCTATTTTCTAATATTGTACTTTAGGGCTGGAATGATAGCACTGTGTGTAGACCATTTGCCTTGCATGTGGCCGACCTGGCCTACCCGAGTTTGATTCCTCCGCCCCTCTCGGAGAGCCCGGCAAGCTACTGAGAGTATCTCGTCCGCATGGCAAAGCCTGGCAAGCTACTCGTGACATATTCAATATGCCAAACACAGTTAACAACGAAGTCTCACAATGGAGAGGTTACTGGGCCTGCTCGAGCAAATCGATGAACAACGGTAGGACGGAGCTACCCAGTACTTTAGGTAGCAGTTATAATAGGAAGAATTTTCATAACTTTCATGGTTTTTGGAGAAGATTACTACATCTTCACCACCAACAAAGTGCCCAATGCCCTCCTCCCTGTTCTACATAACCTCTAGTCTCCTCTTCCTCCATCCCTCCTCAAGCCCCCAACAACTACTCAGTGATTTCAGTTTTGTGCTCCAAAGCCAAGGGTTAGTCATTCATTCATCCATATTGTCATTGCCTTCTTTCGTGTCAGTGTGTCACAGATGAGTAAGATCATCTGATATATGTCCTTTTCTCCCTGACTTATTTCACTTTACACCATAGTCTCCAGTTTTATCCAGGCTGCAATAAGTTGCAGGATTTTATCTTTTGCTTATTATTGTGTAATATTCACTTTGTAATTTTATATTTGTGCTATTGCACAGCTTCTGTATCCATTCATCTGACCTTAGAAATTCAGTTGGTTTACTATTTTCTTTTTGGGCAACACCCAATAATACTCAGGGTTCTCCTGGCTCTGCACTCAAGAATTAGCCCTGGTGGGGTATGGAGGAACCATATGGGATGCCAGGGACTAAACCACAGTTGACCACATGCAAGGCCTTACCTGCTATACTATTGCTTCAGCCCTCCTATTTCTATTTTTAACACAAAATGTCTCTGTTTCCTCTAGTCTCTGTCTCTCTCCTACACAAATGCACATATATATGTTTATGCAAATACAGTCACAAATATTTTCACATTTCACAATCGGAATTATAGTCTTGTCCTTGTCAACTGAAAATAACTTTAATTTCTTCTCATCTGTCTCCTTCTCAATGGTCACTTATTTTTTACCCAAGTGCAAAGCTTCTGTAACTATCTAAGCTCTCCTCTCTTCAAGGTTGTTTTCTGATTTGGTTGTAAAATATGCTGAGAACATTCCTTGTATACATTTGTACTAGAGAACGAATTCCTTAAAGTGGATTTATGGGGTGAAGTATATACTTAATAATTGGAGGGACAATACCTAGTTATTTTCTGAACACAACCCTGATAATTAAAAAAATTAATCTACAAATAGAAAATATATCATTTCAGAGAGAATTCTGGGGAAAGTAACTCGAAAAGAATGGTGTTGGGATACAAAGAAGCCCTTTGTAGGTGAGGATTAATGACTCTTCTACTCTCCTCCAGCCCATGACTTGGGTTTGCCATAGTCAGGAGGAATCTACTCAGGAACCAGAGGTCCTATAGATTCCTGTCATACAGATCAGCATTCAAGGAGACCATCCAGTTTTCCACATCTCTCTGCTTTTCTCCCAAGTGTTTTTATTCCCATGGGGTAAAGCGGCTCAAAAGATTGGAAACGGAACTGGCCAGGCAGATCCAGAGTTCCGGAGTATATCAGTGCTCACAGACCTGCAGGATCCAATGAAACAGGTCCTACCCATCTGTCATCTGAAACCCAAAGTAAATTAAAATGTAGTTATCTGGCAACCTATATCCGACATGGTTCAAGTCCTAATTGGATCAAAGAGATCAGTCTTTGCCCTAGCTGTCATATGGTTGATAAATGAATTCTCTCTCAAAGGAAAAATGCCTACACACTATGTTTTATATTTTATTTTATTTCATGTCATAGATATTTATTTCACAAGAGACACATGTCATGTCTGCCATAAAATAAAATACCATGAGACAAACCAGAGAGCAACAATCTATAATCCATGATAAAGAATATAAACAACTGCCAATATTGAAAACCAGATATTATTTTTTAAGTATTATAATGTGTATTAATATTTTTTTGGCTTCTTTGAGTCACATCCGGCAATGCTCAGAGGTTACTCCTGGCTCTGATCTCATGAATTACTCCAACGTACTATATGTGTATTAAGTAAAATAGAAGAAAACAGAAGCAAATATGATTAATATCAGCAGAGAGACTGGGTCTCTAAAAATCATCCAATAAGTCTTCTAGAAAAGTGGCAGTATCAGATATTAGAACTTATTGGTTATGCCAAGGAGGATTCAATAAAGTGACAAACAATGATATTAACTGAAGCCCTGAGAGTTAAAAGTAGATCTAAATCCAACCTGAAAAGAAGCAAAATGGGTGACACTGTCTGAGATACAGACCACTTAGAATCCTGGAAGAGAGAACAGTGATGGGATGAAGCAATTAATAGCACAGACTAAAGGACACACAAGTTCAGAAACAAATAATGAGCACTTACAGTGACAAATGTGGCAGTAAATGCAAAACAAAATTGTGCTCACTCATTAAAAGAATTTAAGACAATCTCCAAACTTTCAGGAGGTACAACAAAAAGAATAATATACCAAGAGCACTGAGTGAGGGAATATTATTGTGAGTGAGAAGAAGTGGTGTGATATTAATTTTAAGGCACAAGAATAATATTGTAATCACCAGCACAATGAAATAAAATAATAATCACTGAGTTTATGAATAATTTCGAGTAAAAAACAGTCAAGTAGTAAATAGTCACAACAAATTTTTTTAAGTGAAGGAACAAAGGAAAATAGAAATTGTAGACCAAAAGGAGTGATGGAATATGCCAATTCCTTGTAGTTATATTGCATATAATGGGACTAACCCTTGTGCTAAAAGATAATAAGCAACATAATAAAATTAAGAAAAATAAAGGAAAGCCAGCCATTTGCTAGTAAGTGAGATATGGTTAAATATAATTCTAATTAGAAGGGTGAACATTTCTTTAATTTTTTTTTAAATTTATTTATTTATTTATTGAATCACCATGGGAAAGGTTACAAAGCTTTCAGGTTTAGGTCTCAGTCATGCAAATATCAAGCACATTTCCCTTTACCAAAACTTATTTTTTACCATGAAGAACCCCAATAAAACCCCACTCCCCACCCCTCCCAGTCCCTGTGGGGCTGGGGCAGATGAATTCTAGTTAACACTCTATCTGCTTTGATTAGATTCATTGTTTCAATAAAAGATTCACCACTATTATTTAGAGTTTACCCCCCCACCCCCGAATCAGACATGCTGACAAAGCATTGTGAAGTGATTTGCTTTCTACAGCTGGGTTCAAGAATTATATGTTGGTTTTGGATTTCTGCTATTTTACTTATTGACCCTGGAAGTATTTCTACTGAAAGTCAGATAGTTAAGAAATTGGTTTCTGTGCTCTGGAGTCGTGGCCGTGCTGGAGAGCCGCTATTGGGGGGCAACTGGTGGCCTCGGTAGGGCGCGAAGGGCGGACCGAAACGCCCCCCTTCCCATGAGGTTTTAGTCGCCCCCAGTCCCCCGGCTCATACCTGCTGTCCACAAGGCTCCCATGTGGCCGCCATCTTTCTTTCCAGAGGGAGGAGGGCGGAAGGGACCAACACCCTTTCCCCTCCGGGCAGACATGATGGCCTGGATTAACGCATAGTCCTTTCACTTTTCTGCTCCAAGCTGCTGGGTTCTGCATTAAGTCCTTGTGCTTCTGGGGCCATGGCCGTGCTGGAGAGCCGCTCGCGGGGGACAACTGGTGACCTCGGTAGGGCGTGAAGGACGGACCAGAACGCCCCCCTTCCCATGAGGTTTTAGTCGCCCCCACATACCCGGCTCATACCTGCTGTCCACAAGGCTCCCATGTGGCCGCCATCTTTCTTTCCAGAGAGGAGAAGGCGACTGGGGCAACACCCTTTCCCCTCCGGGCAGACCTGATGGCCTGGATCAACGCATAGTCCGTTCACTTTTCTGCTCCAAGCTGCCGGGTTCTGCATTAAGTCCTTGTGCTTCTGGGGCCGTGGCCATGCTGGAGAGCCGCTCGCGGGGGGCAACTGGTGACCTCGGTAGGGCGTGAAGGACGGACCGGAACGCCCCCATTCCCATGAGGTTTTAGTCGCCCCCACATACCCGGCTCATACCTGCTGTCCACAAGGCTCCCATGAGGCCGCCATCTTTCTTT